TTATTCGCATTCGATTCACCTGAAACGAAGATAAATGCGTTTCGTCCGTATGAAGGGAGCACGCGCCTTCCTTCCCGCTCTTTCCCTTTTCGTCTCGTCGCACGCTTTCAATATCCGCCTTTAATATCGACGATTGTTACGCTTGTTTATCGGTAGCAATCGGGCTGAATGCCTCCTTGCGAGATGCGACTACGCCCGGCTCTTCAGTTAATACGCAGATATGGGAGTGCCTCTGAAAGTAAATAAATAAAACGGAACCGTATTGGATCCTTTTCGGCGCTGTTTCTTCAAAGGAATGGGCGATTTGTTCAAAATTCTCTGTGTTCGTTTAAAAATATAATCATTCTTCGAACGTTTTGTTATCGATCTTTATTCACAATAATTTAATTTGAAATTGACGTTCATACGTGAATGGGTATTTAATTATTGAAACACTATCAGATCTATTTTGGAAACTACTTTTGAAAGGTGTGTAATATATCTTCGTTTGACAAACTTAATCATTTCAACTTCATTAAAAGGAAATATAAAATTTAAAATTATTTCTAATTAATAATTTTCTTTTATCTCGAAGATTCCTTCCGTATAATATAATGTATATATTCGTAAAAAAGAAATGGAAGGGAAATTGTAAAAATATCTATTAAAAATCTGCAGTTGTGCAATATGCACGCCATTATTTCACGGAACAGTCACGAACGGCTTAGAATCAGAAGCCGGCACACATTCTGTGCAAGTTTCTCGGGCTTGCATTCTTTTACTTTTGTTTACGGTTTCCAGTCAGGATATTTAGAACGGTTAAAGGAACAATTAAACGAGGTTAAAACAGTTCGCGTCCCCGTGGCTCTATCTCGCTTAATTGCCATGCCTTTTTTCCATGCCGTCCCTCCATAGCAGAAATTCGGCTCGTTTTATTTCAGAGGTGTGTAACCGGGCTCTCCCCGGGCCCTGCTCTCGTACACACGTTCCACTCAGCAGCCAACTCATACACCGCAGACACGGTTATGTCTCGGAGATATTTTAATTGTCGCCTCAAAGCAACTCTCTCTCGGCCTGATGCGAGAATTCTTCGTCAACCGCGTGAAATATGAGGGAACTTGACGACTCGCTAATAACCTTCCCGGGCCGGGGATCTCGAATTTTAAGTTCGCCGACCTTAATTTTTCAAGCGGAGAACGTTTTCACTCGCTTCCGACGCCTCGCGTTCCAACGTTTCGCTGCAACGTGCTACGAATCTTTCGTTCTTCCGAAGGATGGATAATCGTTTCTCTCTCTTTTTTTTATAATTCGCGATGTAAATCTTTTTCGAGATAAGAAAAAAATTGCTTTATTTACATCCTTCTACATATTTTGATGCTGCGCTTTTTTCGATTCAACACGATTTTCAGAGCGAGGAAAATATTGTATATCGTGATAATATTTTGTTTATATAATGGATAGATTTGCTAACAAAATATTCAAATTTCTCTATTTTCTATGAACACCTCCATTCTAACGGCTCAAGAAAAGATTTAGAAAATCTTTTATCTATATTCTACTTATATAATACAAATTAAATCAAGCATATTTGAAAATGCAAAAGGTGTAAAAATTTTTCTTACGGATTTTTAATGGCAACTCATTCAAAACTTTCCCCCCAAGTTCTCCATCGCGCCTTACATATTCCCCTCAAATTTCCCCAGGCCAGCGTAATACGCTTCAATCACGATAACGCGACTCCATTTCAGCGGTTCGAATGAAACCAACGAACAGTGACCGAGTAATTCGACGGGGGTGGCGACAGTCCCGGTTGGGATTTCATTTCGCGATAGTCACGCTTTGATTTCCGTGGCTCAGGTGTCTGCGAGAAGAAAGGGGCGGATCCGGAAATTCGCGGCCTCGCCTCCCCACTCTTACAGAAAGGGGTGACGAGGATTGGGGTGGTGAAGGGTGAAAGAGCTCGTTTGTTAACATGTTCGTCCCGCGTGCGACTTAAATCACTCGAGGAGACCTCTCGATAGACGTCCCGACGTCAAACTGGAAACTTTCCATGGTCTGGATTAAATTGGATCCTTGGGCGGAATGATGGGAAGAAACGAAAATTGGATGCTCAAAAGATGGCGTGGATTCGACAGGATTCGAAAAGGGGGAGGGAAAGTCCAAGTGCCACGGCGAATAACAATGAGCAGGGATTTCGATCTCGCGATGGTTTTCAGAAACTCGCCCCCTTCATAAGGGATGAAGAATGTCTCGTGGAGTTTCCGAAATTTTATATCAAAATATCTTGTAGAAAAGTGAATTTTTATTATCTTCTTTCTTTCTTCTGTGAATTTGTAATTGTACTTAATATTCTTCTTGAATCGATTAAAATAAGAAGGATAATTGTCATTTCGCGACTAAGAAACTGGATATGTGATTATAATTTTACTTTAAGCTAATTCTATAATGAGAATTATAATCTACGTTATTGTTGTTTTAATTGAAAAACTAATTTTTTATTTTTATTCTAGCTTTTTGAAATAATGATTAAATGTGCATTTTCTCTTTTATATTGGAATTAAAATAACCGACTTGATAAAAGAGATTCTCAAAATTTAAAGCTATCAAGGAAGCGGAACCAAATCCGTGAAAAACAATTTATTCTTCTTCGAGATACTTCCAGCCATTTGTTCATGCCGGTGAACAAGCTAAGAGAAAGAGTTACTTTAATATCGCGACTAGTAGCTACTTCGTATGCGCGCCGTCTCCAGTCGTGTTCCTCTTCTATCATCCCTCTATCTATCTCTTTGCTTATCTCGGCCACTGTAATCGAAATGCCCGGCCTGGTAATCCTTGGTCCGCCAGGATCAAGCACCGTGGAATATTTTTGAAAATCGCAGCTCGTAACTTGAAACGATTTCAAAGAGAAGAAGCGAACGAATTAAAATAAGACGTTCCGCACGATTATCGAGTTATAGGAAATAAAGGGAAAGATGAAGAAGAAGAAGAAGAAGAAGATGGCGAAGAGAAGTTTGAATTAAAATTGACTCGTAGAAACTTTTTAATAACTACTCACTCTTTCAGTTTCTTATTACACCATTTAGAGATCGAATATTTTCAATATTTCCAATAAGGATTCAATAAAAATATTTTAAAATTAAAATCGAAACTTTACGAAAGAGCGAAGAATATTTGTTAGATGCTCGAAACATCGTGTAAAAATTGAAATACTCAACCATATAAATATAATTAAAAATATCTACAAATTGTTCTTATCCTGAATTTTTCAATTACAATTGACTCTAAGACGAATTTCTCGCTTCGTCATTCGATCCTAAATAAATTTTCCATCAAATCTCAAAAACAGGGAAATTTCACAGAGTTTAAAACTTAATTTGGACGCATCAGGGATCTTTTAAAAGCGCATCGTTCCACGGTGGTGCGCAGAAATGTAGATCGCTGCAATCGATACGGGAAGACACGCGCCCCACGCGAGAGGGGATTAATAAATAATGGAGAGGCGAAGTTGGTTCGATCGAGTTTCAGACGTTGCATCAAAGCGTACGCATCCTTTAATAAAGGATACGATGCCGGCAGACATCGGTAAATAATACAGGAAGCTTTCTCTTTCTCCATTGGAGGGAAGAGGGAAGTGCGTGGAAGGCTCCGCGAGTAAAGATGATGCAGTAAACTCCACTGTTATTGGCACTCTAAGCGCAGGTGTTCCGAATGATTTCTCCGGGGACCCAGACAGTCTGTGAAACCGGCTCCCTGATTTCGAGCGCGGGCATGGAATCGCGACGGGCATGGGAAATCAGCCAGAAGAAGGATTAACCATCTCGAGTGGCCGCCCGGTGACGAAGTATTAGAACTTTCGATTCGATTTCTTCGTAGCCGCCCTCCCCTCGTAAAATTCGCCCGGGTCGAACGTCTCGAAGATCGCGCAACTTTTTTGCATTTTTATTCGGCGACTTTTAAAAGTTTGATACATTGTCTTTGGAGATAGTGATTCGTAACTGGGGAGGAGATTTTATCGAGCAAAAGTTTCGGTTAATAGCGATGGAGGGAACGTTACGTGGAGATGCCGCATACGTAAAGAAACGAATTTTAAATTTCTCATTTTTGATCTCGTCCTCGCGAGAAGATCGTTTTCATCCGCATTTCTAAATTTACCATTTAAACTACAATTATTTAAAAATTAAATAATTCAAAAGAGCAAGATTATTAAGTAACAAAATAACTCTACAATTCTTAGAAATTAATATTTGATAAAGAAAAATATCTTTATATATCTCTTTCGACGTTGGAAATTTTGATTCCAATATTAGATTAGATATATAACTTGCCACGATTTTCTTCACGATCCAGAGGAAAAGAGTCTCGTTTGTACGACAAAATTCATTCCGCGAACGAGGGAGTATCGTTTCGAGAATTCGTATGTTTCGACAACACAGCTCCGCGCATTAGCATAATTCGATAGAAATAATCGAGGGGAAAAAAAATCGAAGGATAGAGGGGAAAGGAGGAAAACGAGAGACGCGTAGGTAGGAATCGGAGCGAAGACATTATTGGGCGAACACGGGGGACGATGTCATTTCGGACGATTCGTTGTCTCGTCGTGGCGGGTGGCGAGGGAGAGACACTCGGGGACGTAGGTGGAAACACGAACTTCCAAAGGAACACGGTTGGCGCGAGTCAGTCCACTGTTATAGACGAGGCCACGATAATAAATTCACAGCATGCGGGGACCGAGTACGTGTCTTCATAAAATCTTAGATCGAAGATTGGCCGTGGATGTCACGGTCAGCACGCGAAAAAAATAATTAGAGAGGATGAGGGACGGCCAGGTAGCGTTGCTTTTTCGGTATGCACGCCAACCGGTGTCGGTTGTATCGCGTGCGCTTGGTGTTTCGTATAAATTACGCGGATGTATCCGCTAACGCCTCGGCCATTCGCCTCGTTAATTGCTTCTGGCTCGATTGAATTTTATATATCGCGGTTGGGAACGATTTTCTCCTTTCCTTTCCTTCTCTTTTTCCTTCGAACAGCGGAATTAAATTTCCGCGACCAAATCGGGATTATTTACGCTCCAATGACAAAGGGAGCCGTTATTTGTGAGAATGATGTGTAATTTAACGTTTCGATTCGTTCTATTTCCGTTTAATTTCGCGCTTTCGCTGCGAAAATTTAAAGCAAGTGAATTTTTGACGAAGGGGCGCTCAAAGGGTTGCGATCGTTTGGATGAATCGACGAAGGGGAAGCATCTTCTTTTTTCTTCTTCTTTTTTTTTTTTTTGGCAACTCCGGTCCTGTAAAAATGTAAATCGCAAAAATTCGAATGTAAATCCGTGGGAACAGGTAGCGGGAGACGTAAGCCCACGAGGGATTACGATAATTTATTCTCGTAGCCCGTAGGGTTACTTTATCCCCGGGTACGAGATAAATTCGCGTCCGTTTCGGCCCTCCCTGTAAAGCAACGTTCACAACGATTAAACCTTCGTAAAATACAGGAAAATTGAAGGCAGATTAAATTTCCATGAAAATTATACAAAATTAGAAATAGAATTTAAAACATTAAAATTCTATTAGAATCGGAAGATATTTTCTAAAACTTTCTTACTGTTTATTATCTTTTCTTATTGTTAATCAACATACTCGATTTTGTTTTCGAAAATTTTAATACGTACAATCGAATATTTACAAAATTTTTCTAGGAAAAAATTGCTACCAAGAATAAAAAAGAAACAATGATATTTCAAGTTATTTGGAACAAGGAAAATTATCAAGTGCTGAATCAAGCTTAACGTAACGTTGTATTTCTGTCGCATTACCTGAAAGCTGTCAAAAATCCGAGAGATCCACGAGGGAAGATCCCTAACAATCGCATATTCTCAAAGTTTCACTCGTCCCCATTCTTCGAATTTCTCCAAAGGTCTGAACATCCCTTCCTGTCTCGCTTGTCCTCGTACAAATTTAATGTTCCACTCGCCCACAAATGACACCTTCGACCATGAACCGTTCCCATTAAATCTTCCATCTCTAAAATTAGACACCCGGCTCTTTCAACCTACAACCTGACCCGCAACACTGATTAAAATCTCCATGGAGTAACAATGGGCTATCTTGTATCAGCGACTGCTACATTACAAGATTTTATCGAACTGTACGACATAGAATACGTTCATGCTCCCTCGACGATACTATATGTATCATCACGATCATACCTGCACTACCGCGAGTCGTAAAATTTATCAAAATAATTAAGCCTCGTACTCGTTCATGGGCAGAGGCTAAATTTCACTTTTGATTCTTGTTGATCGAATACGTAAGCGTTTAAAAATATTTAAATAACAGATAAAAAATAGTTCCAAAAATATTATTTTCTAATCTTTGAAAAAATCTTGTCTTTCAAATTATTATCACTTATTATATACTAATTTAAATCGTTCCAAAACATGTAATTAGCAATTGTACAAACAGAATTCGTTTTAATTTTTTAATCAATTATTGTTATTATTATTATTTTCTTTAATCTCAAACCTTCTCGTGTTTTCTCGCACTTGGTGGAAAGTGCGCTCATATATCGTTCAGGTATCTTCCCTTGGACGTGTTTACCAGACATCTCACCTCTCTACGTCGATTGATCATCTCCACTCTCCAGATTCCATCCCCATCGAGCGTGCCTCCCAGTATTTTTCACTTGGCAAAATTGTTTCCACATCATCCTCCTTCCTATATTCACCCCCCGAAAAAACGTACCGACAACCGTGCAATTAATGGATCACAGAAGGCAAAAGATAAAAGTGAACATAGATGCACGACAACGTGTTCTATTCAAACAATGTAACAATTTTTCTCTTCCGATCGGAACAATGAAAACATCGATCGATGGAACAGATTTCCAGAAAGGGTATGCGCGTGTGACAAACGACGACAAGATCGCCGATACTTGGTGCAGCATGAGAACGCACTTTACGAATCAAAATCGACCGCGTGACTGACCCTCGTGTCTCCATCCATCAACCTTCCAAAACTTCGATCCCTTCCTCAATCTCCTTCCACCGCTACTGATTAATGATCCAAGTACGATCACGATCCAAATCTCGTATCGGTAAGGTTACGTGATCGCGTTAATTCGCGACGAAATCCAGACAACGTCGACGTCCGCCAGCTTTCTTCGCCTTTATTTTCGGTCGAGCGAGAGATGGTGGGTGCTCGTTCGAGCTTCTTTCAATCAACGTCGATTAATCTCGATTTCAGAGCACCGTCTATCTCAGCCCCCTCGACGTTCCTCGCCTTCTTCTCTTTTTCCACTCTCCATCGTCGTCGAGCGATGTCTTTCTTCTTCTTCTTTTTTTCTTCTTTCTTTCTTTTTTTCTTCCTTTCTTCGCGCGCGCGTGCACGACAGACTTTCTCGACCGCTTGGAACGGCGCATAATTATTCATCAGGGACTTTGCCTAATTCTCGCTCGTTAATCACCGTCTTCGAGAGACACGCTCGTTCGGTCAATGGCTGCCGTCGTGATCGACGTTTTAAGCTCCTTTATTGAATCGTCGACGGTGTATCGGGCACTGTTACTCCATCGACCGCACTGTTACCGCTTTGTTTACTGTACGGTGTCTGTATTTTGGAAAGGTGATTTGGGCCAAAGTTGTTTCCACCGCGGGACAAGGAGAATTCAATTCACGAAATAGATTGGATTATTAATTCTGAGAATTATTCTGTTTATTTTCTTCTAAAAGTTGAAACGATGGATGCCATGCATGATTCACACCTATTTGTCACTCGAGGATTCGATAGAAATATTTAGATTCGTATTGTTAATTTGTGTTGTATAATTAAATATTGGTGAATATAATTAGAATTATAGATGAAACTTAGAAATTTTGTGATAGCTTCGATTCATTGAAATTTAAAATATTTCAGAAAAGAATTGACGAATTGATCGTTCTTTGATTAATTCTTCCAAAAAAAGAGAAAAAGAAAAAGAAAAATTACGAAAGAGTAATAATTTAAAAAAAAAAACGGGAAACAATTTTAGAGAATCGCGCGGTGGAAACGTGACACCGGAGAGATTTTATCTTTCATTTAACAATATGATATTTTTATTTAATATCCAGAGGCGTGGTCACGCCACATTCACCGATAAAATTTTAAACGCGAGAATCTACTACTATTTTATCGAAAGGTTGTAAAATTCTCTCTTTTTTTTTTTTTTTTCTTCTTCCCAACCCCCTTCTCGGGAATAGCATCGATCGCTCGCAATTTTCCAGTGCAAAGCTATCTAGCGGATCGTTCTCGCGATTAGTTGGATCATCGGCGCAATGGAAGTCTATTATACGGATGGCTATTAATTGAATCCTGCGCCGGCCTCGTGTTATGTAACCGATATGCAAATAGATTGTCTGTTTCGCTGTGTGTCGCGCGCGGAATTAATTCCAGGAATTGTTTAACGAACGATCCACCGCGGTCGGGTAGAGTTGTTCGATAAAAATGAACGCGCAATTCCAACCGGATCCGGGGGAATTTTATTTCAAACGTGAAAATAAATAATGCCGTTTTATTCAAAAAGATTTAAAGGATCGCAATATATTTCCCCCGCTCACGACACGAGCGCTTAATAAACGATTCCTCCGAGGTGAGCCGGGCCTGTTTTTTTTTCTTTTATTTTGCCTCCGAAAGAAAAGAGGAAAGGAGATATCGGCGCGAACGAACGAAGGAAGATTCTCATCTGGCAGGGGAGACCAAGATTCGTTTATTGCTTTCTGCTACCGTGCTACCGGATCGTTTCGAGGCGAAGATTCGTATCGAGACCGGATCGAGACGATTATCCTGAAAAAAATTTCAAAATTTCCGAGTTGATGCTGTCGTCACGACTTGAGGACGCGACTTAAGCCGACTTAAGTCCAGAAATATATATTTTCTCATAACGTTTCATATTAAACGTTCGATAAATCTCGAGTATATTTTTTCGATTTCGTTGAAGGAATCGCTTGGAATTATTTTGAATTTCTATATAAAGTATATATATACATATATATATACAGTGGTTCCAAAAGTATTTTGATTAAAATTGGAGAGAACGTTTCTCAAAAAAACGACTGAAGTTCAATTTTAAAAAGTTATCGCGATACACGAGAAGTGAGATTTGTCCAACCGAGATATATTCTAACCTAAACAAGTGCAATAACAAATACACGAAAATAGAGAAACAAAAATTTCGTACAGAGATGGAAAGCGTACTACGATTTCGTGGAAAATATCATCCACGTTGGACAAGAGGATAACATTGGGAGGCGGTCGCAATCTCCGGAGAGAACGCGTGACTCGGTTGCTTAATTGGCCATTAATTATGCAAATCGAGCGATTACCTCGTTCGCGTGTTTTGGCCCAACTAGCCGTGCCCCTCCCGCGGCGAATTCAGAACTGTCGTAATCACTTTTATCCCCGTTTGAGAAGAAACGGCGAGATGGAAGATTTTCTATCGAGGATTCCTACCCTCGAACGGGGATGGAAAGAAAGAAACCCTTATCAATCGAGAAAGAGTGCATCCTATCGATCAGCCTCGGACCCGTTACACTTTCTTCCCTGCTTGCCCCCTGAATTCTCTCCGCCACTTTTATTTCGGACCGTTCATTAAGCCGTCAGACGGAAACGTATTTTCGCCGGAAGGTCCGCGGTAATTGACGTCGTTCGATCCGTGGATGGATCGTCGGCGAGGTCAAACCAGATACTATCCCTAATTACCTCGCGAGACACGCTGGAAATGTGCGCTCATTAATTCCACTTTCTTTCAACGGCGTAATTTCTCTTATCGATTATCGGTGATCGAGATTCGTTTTCCGATAATTTTCCTTAAAATCGTGTCTTTCGTAATAAGAATTTTGATGGTAAATTTAACTTGGATTTATTTTGTTGATATATAATCAACTAATTTCTCATATATCGATAAATATTTACAGCTACAGGCTCAAAATATATTTAATAGAAAAATATACTATCGCTCGTTGTCTAGATACTTATCTGTTTTAAACAGAAAGTTATAGTAAACTTGAAATAAAAGAATTAAGTATTGATTTCAATTTTTACGAATATATTGATAATGATTCTGCCAGAGGATATCGATCATGTATGTATCATAGATCACAAAGTATATACTATAACGAAAGGAAAAAACTATAAAACTATTTATTTATTTAATTTCCAAGAAAATAGAATCTAGAAAATATCTCTATTCAAACAGAAATTAATCTGTGTATTAAATTACTAATCTTTCCAATAATTTACACATCCTACAATCAAATCTATCCACGAATTGGCACAAGACCCATTTCCACTTTAACTTTTGCTTCTGCGATCCTCTAGATTTTAAACCGCGAAAAGTTAAGACGGGAAAGGAAGAGGGGTGGTTCTTTTAGGCGCACTCCAATTAGACACGGATAATACGTAAGCGGTAAATTAACTCCGCGAGGCTCGGTGTCATGCGTGAGATTGATCGTCTCGGTTCTCAGGGCGAGACGATGTCCCGTGGAACGGTTTTCTTCTCGACATCGGGATACAGAACGCGTGAAATGCAGAACGGCGCTTTGTAAGGACGGACAGCAGAGAAATTGTGCGTCGTTGCCGGAGGGGGGACGGAAAAAATGGTCGTCGTGTGGGGCGTAGAAAGACTTGGGAGATGGAAGTATCGCGGTCATCGCTCGCTGAGACCCTGATGGATCTCACCATGAGAATCGTGCTGTTGTCTCTGGATTAACAACACTGAAAACGAGAAAACTTGGTGTTTGAGTTTCGTGTTCTAATGTACTTTGTTTGTTCTTCTTCTTTTTTTTTTGCAGAAAGAAACGATGATTACATTGAAAGAAGGAAACTCTGATGAAAAATTTATTTGTTATTCTTAGATGAATCGTTTTATAGATGTTGAAAAGTTTCTCGTTGTTGTATTTCATTATTTCAATTTGGATGCCATTATCATCAAAAAGAGTAAAATTAAAATAGACGATTATAAGAATTTAAATTGTTTATTCAAATCGTAAAGTTGAAAATTAATTAATTCTTGTTAAATATGGAAAACTAATAATATCGAAATACATACTCTTTCCGAAATCGTTCAATTTTATCTGAAAAATTTTTTATCGATAAAAATAATAATTAAAGCGAGATGACATAATAAATCATCTTATATAAAACGCATGTTATAATTTATCGAATCATTTTTCAAAATTTAGACAATTAAAGAAAAAAAGATATGAGTAAATAGAGAAAATATTTCATATTATTAACATAAATTTATATTCTCA